GTTGATAAGCTCTTAACGATCCAGTTGCATTTCTTCCTGCAGTTATTGGTTTCAGTCAGGAGAAGGCAGGATATTCCCATGAAGATGAATGGGCAATTTGAATTAAGCTTTAATTATGTTATCTTATCTAAAGGCAATTAACAATAATGAAAATGAAATGTTAAGTTTATGTATAATTACTTGACCTGCTTGTATATATTGTTATCATACAATTTGAGCTTTAATTTAAATGATTGAAGCGCGTTTATATTTATTATCATAATTATAATACGATTATTAATGGCTTTTTGCTCAAAGGTTGTAGTCTGAAAATAAAGTGAAATAATTATTTATTTATTAATATATTTTTAAATATTTATTATATTTATATAAAGAATTAATTTCTTAATATTTCTAGCAAATACAAAATCAAAATCTTCCTGAAAATATATTTATTTAAAGCCAGTAACTTTTTTCATGGCTCAATATTATTTTTCTTTATTACTTATTTCGTGTCCAATAATGAGCTTAAAAAATATATATTTTCCGCTTTATTAAATCAAAATCCGCTTAATTCAATTAAAGACCACTCTTAATTGGTAGTTGTTTATAAAACATATTTGTGGTAAACAAGACTTCAATTTCTGACCGCATCGCTGGGTTCAATTGCATAAAATTCGTTGAAATCATGCGTAACCAGAAGGCGGCGACAATGGGCAATGTCTGTGCCCATAAATCATGGTCGAAACAAAGATAGGGGCCGGGTCTACTGTGACAGGGACACGGGGTAGCGGGAGTGTATAGAATCGGAAAGAGACAGCAGCGAACAACAATGACAACGAGTGCGGCAAATGAAATTCATTTGCATTCAACACGTTGCCGTGTGTGCAAACAAGAGGGGGTGTTATGGTAGAGGGTGGAATGGGTGGTCATAGTGGGTGAAATGGGCGGCTTACAGGGTGGTGTCGTGCGGCAGATGAGAGACGTGTACAACGCGGCGTATGTGTAACGGCAGCAACTGCGACAGATGCGCCACAGATGCAGCTACTACAAATGCGTCAGTTGCGAGCGACAGCCAGAAAAAAAAAAACAAAAACAAACAACAAAAACACCACCGATGCAGTTAACTAAACAAGACCCGGTCACCGGGCAAATGGTATTTGTGTGCCAACTGAATTGGACAGGGATGCAGTAGAGGATGTTTGAAAGGAGAAGCAATCAAAAGTCACTAAATTCCATGAAAATCTCCATGAAATTTCATAGTTTTTAAAGTTATTTATTAAATAAAAAAGTTTCCCTATCCATAACTTTTTAATAAAAGAAAATGTATTAAAAATATGCTTAATACTCATACACTCAAATTTCCTAGAAAAGAAGGGAGGTTACTTTTCAAATAAAATATTTTTTAAGTGCCCAAAAAATCTTAAAATATTTTAAAGTATATTTAATTTTTCTAGACCAATAACATGGATTTTCCTGGCCATCCCTGGCCTACACAATTCACGCACAATCGCACACCAACAGCACGCCCAGACAGTCGCAAACACACACGGTGTAATCTAATTGCTGACATGGCCAGACGACAGCGAATGGGCCAGACCAGACCAGACCAGAACGGAGGAGGCGGAGGAGGAGGTGGCCAGAATCCAGACCGAGCCAGAACTCGACCCGGTCCGAGCCATCAACGGGACCGAGAAGCTCACCGAACAGATCAGAACCGGATGCTGCGGCTGGAATTATTGTCACCCAACCACATTGCAATATATGGAACGTGTTTGGAGCGGTTCGCTGGAGGAGTTTGCTTTCAGTTTGTGACCATATAAATGGGAGCAACTCAATCCAAACAAGAACTGTGTCAATTCTCGGTAGAAAATAATTAAGTTGATTTAGATTTTAGTTGCAATTTTAATTTTAATGCGTATGCTGAGAGCAGGGCAAGCCAGGGCAGGGCAGGGCAGGGCAGGCAAAAGTTGTTGAGTGGTTGCAACTGGCAAGTACTTACCACTTACCACTTGGTAATTGCAGGCGGTGCGGGTTGCGTGTGTGTGTGTGTGGGTTGCCATTCATGAGCTGAATTTATTAGAACCAAAAGGTTACCAGCATCCTACTCTCTCTCTATGATGGCTCCTCTCCACTTTTAGTTAGTTAGTTAGCTGCCGCAAAACGCTTAAATGCACTGCGACCCTGTTGACCTTGCCTCGAATGAGTGTGTGTCTAAGTGGGTTGGTTGTGTGTGTATGTGTGTGTGCATAAACATAGAGATATGGTGTAGGAGGCATGCTGGTTTAACAGCATCCAACACACTCCATTCTCCGTTTTGCCATCATCTCTGGAAATGGAATGAGGGTTAAAGTTAGTTACACTGACAGGTAATCATGTCACCACCTGGGGAGCGCTTGGAATGCCAAAGGGGAAATCCAATAACAATTCAATTTCAGACCACTCTATGATATTGTAGCTGCAAAACGAATAAGCTGAAGCATTCGATAATTTAATTTACAAGCTAATCAACTTTTACGATGGTTAAATAAAAGAGATAACTTGAGTGAGGTATTGGAAGGAAGAAAGATATTAAGTTGTAGTTGTAAGTAGTTAGTTGTATAAGAAAATGATATTATAAATAAGTTAAATATAAAAATAGGTTAAATTTGTATCCAATATTTAATTAAAAGATTTTATTACTTTTTTATTTATATTTCGTTTTGATTCCCCAATACTTTTCTCTGACATTCGCATACTTCTCTAGAGTAAACTGAATGAGATTTGTTGCCCACTCACTGTCGGAAGTTTATGTGTGGATTTAATGGCTAATGAGAAAACTGCAACAGACTTCAAAGTTACATGCAGGCAGGTTACATCACATTTTCCAGGTCATGAAGGTAATGTAGATTTCATTTCAATTTAAAAGTATTTTATTTGGGGAAATAAAAGTTATTTAAAAAGTAAAAAATTAGCTTGAAAGACACAAATAATAATAAAACCACATAAAGTTTCCGTAAACTATTATTATACAATTGCAACTTCCTCTACAACTTATTTTTATTCCTTAAATCTTTCTAAGATCTAAGTGTTTGTATCACCCAGAACAACTCTCCAGCTCCATTGATCTGGTATTCCCGCACTTTTGTTGCCACTTCCGTGGCATCTTTCCACCACACTTGTGCTTAATGGCAGCTGCTTACTGCATTTTGTGCTTTACTTTTGCCCTCTCATTGAGGTAAGAGCCAGGGAGCCAAGGCCCCGAGCTCATTACGGCGATGACAAATCAGTTTTCTTGTCAAACGCAACGATATGATGTCAAGTGTGTCTGTGGGTTGCGCTGGCTGCTCTGTGTCTGTGTATCTGTGTTTGTGTGCGGCTGGCGTTTTCCAATTTTCCGGCCAAAGTCGCTGTTCAGAACTCCAGAACTGAAGGGCGGATTAGGATCGGGGCTTAGGTCGCTGGTCAGGGAGAGGATGAGGGACGTGCCCCAGTTCATATCGTTTGTCTGCCGACATTTATGACACGCTGCCGGCTGCAGCTGAAGTTGCCAACAAATGCAATTTAAATCGAGGCATTACTTTGGTCAACACAATCAGCTCTCTGGCGATTTTAGTGGGTGGGAAAAATGCTCTTGAGCTTAGGGAAACTTGAGGAAGCTCTGGGAGAAGAGGGAACTTTAGAATGATAACTTTTTTCACCTTTTGCAGAGCAGTTATTTCAATTAAAAAGATTACTTGGTTACAAAAATATAATTATAGGAAAAGAGATTAAATCAAAAAAGTTAATTCATTATTTTTCCTACTCTACTCTTAATTTCTTTATATAATTTTAAATTCATAAGATTTATAACATAAGATTTATAACATAAATTATTCAAACCAGAAAAAAAATATGTTCTCTCTCAAGTTGCTTATGCAAATTTCACTTTCATGGGATATTTATGAACTTGTCATTATTATTATTTAAATTCTCTTGACTCTCATCAAGCAGACGTCTAATTGCATGGCCCTGGCTTTCCTCTGCTTTCCATTTCATTACAATTTCAATTTCCGACTCCCACTCTCTTTAATTTCATTTTTACTGTGGCTGGGCCCAGGCATTTCCATTTGATTTTCCTTCTTATTTACTTAGTTTTTTTTCCAGCAGCTTCTCTTTTTTTTTTTTTTTTTGACACAACTTTTATTCGCATTGAAATGATTTTAATGACAGCAATTTGTGTTTCGAAATCGCGCAACATTAGCTTTGGAACCCATGGATACATGGCCGCAGGGCTAAAGCTGGGAAACTGGGAAAAGCGGGAGCGAGGGGTTTCTTGGCGTTAAATGAACGTGTTTATAACGCTTAACTTTCAAATTAAGGCCAGGCCGACATGAGGCGGAAGTTTCGATTTGTTGTCTGCGGCCAGCCGGAGGCCTCGGGAAATTGCGCGACGTCTTCGTCTGACAGAAGGATAAAGACCCGAAAAAGCCCCTCAGCCGGGTCATTACGTCAGCCAAGTCTCCCACATTTCATCCCCAGCATCATCATCTTCACTAGCATCGCTGGCGGAGTTTGTTTAGACTTCATCCCCACCATCATCATCATCATCATCATCATCATCATCATCCTCAACCGAATTGTGGGTTAGTGGCGTTTTCTAGTTGAAAGAAATGCTTTGTGATTTCTCTCGCTCGTTATTATCACACTAAGATTTTGATTGATGAGATTTCCCAAGCACGTGACCCGCCCCCAAATGACCCCCTCCAAAGCCACCCATCCACTTTTATGTGGGCCCTGATTTTGGCCAAATTTTCACGCTCCTCTAATGGGGGAGTTGCGACCAAAAGCCGCGGGCTTGATTAGTTTTTTTTTTCTCCGCCTTGGCTGAAAGTGACGCGAACTTTTGGGCAGGTCTTTGCTTTTTATCCCTTTTGTTTCTTAAGGAAGCAGATATAGGGCTTAACCTTTTGTAAGTTATATACCGATTTTTATCTCCAGAAGTTTAATTTTAATTTAATCTTTTTATGTTGCCAAGGAAATTGAATAAAACTGCTCACATATTATAACCAAACGGTGACGGAAATTCAAAGTCTGTCTTTGTAAATCTAAACGAGAATCGGAAATTGGAGTTGGGGATCAGTGGGTGTATAAGTTGTCCTTGTCCATTAATTTGTGGCCTCTGTAGAATTACTTCCTTTGAGCAGCCGCTTAAGGGCATCCAGTCGTCCGAATACATAGTTCGACATCTGCGAGAATCTGTGGGAAGTCCCCTTCTTCAGCGATCGACCGGGTAGAGGCTGCATTTCTATGGGTTTGCCCGGCCATTGTTGCATCATCTTGGCGGCCACCGGTTCGTCGAACATCAGCAGATAGCAGGGCTTCAGGGTTGTTGAATCCTGCACCAGAAGCTCAAGGAAATGCCTATCCGGCGAGGTGATCATCCAGTTGTCCAGCTCGGCGGGCAGCTCGCAAATTATAATTGCCCGCTGTTGTGTGTTGGCCAGAACGGACTTGCTCCAGCACAACGTTTGCTTTTGGTCTTCCTTCTTCTTTTCTTCTCCCTGCTGCGAATGTTGCTCCTGTTGCTGCTCCTGTTCCTGCTGCTGCTCCTGCTCTGCTGGCAACTCTTGCTGCTGGGAAAGGAGCAAAGCAAACTCCATTTGGTGGTGCAGGCGTATAGGCTCTCCTGGAGGTATGTCCAGGTGACCTGTGTACAGGAAACGATACACCTTTTCCAGGGGCAATCCCAGGAAGGCATAGTTGCGCTGCTCATCATTTTGTAGACGCCACTTCCACTGGTGAAGATCTATCATTTCGTAGTTGATGCCTATCAGCTGGCGGGGTTCTTCGGTGGGTTGGCCCAGTCCCAAGTTGCGACATAGGGGGCCCAGGTTCAAGATCGAGAGGCGGCGGAACGAGGGGTAAGTGACATTCGGCACCAGCAGCCAATGAAGAAGATGCCAGGCGTCAACATCGTCGGGAGCCAAGGCCTGCAGCTCCTCAGGGCTATTGAACATGGTCGGTATAACCCGACAGGCGGGCCAGTTATTTTCAATGGCGCTCCGTAACTTCTTAACCTGGCAACCGTATCCGACCACGGCCCTGAACTGCGGCGGCAACGGGACCAGCGTGCTCTCATAGCGATCATGGCTGGCCGCCACCGTGAACAAGAGCATGCGAAGGTCGTTGCCATGCGGCTCAGTTCGCACAAGGGCCTTCACATCTTCTATTTCACGCTGGAGATCCGCTACACCGGCTGGCAGAGGATGGGGATCCTCGCTGCTGTGGATGAATCCAAAGGGGGATTGGCATTCGTAACGCACAGAGTTGCCCAACTTACTTGATTTCTGGCATTAACTGATCCACGGTAGGATTCTCGGATTTTCGTTCGGTCCCCGCCGTCCCCACTTCCAAGGGGAAGTCCATTCGCAGGCTGGGCTCCAGCATCGTTTACAAGGCCAAATGAATCTTTACGGTTCGGATCAACTCTTTACAATTTTGCTGAATTAAAATAAGTGATTACACCAACATAGTTTTTAAAAGGCGACTAAGTGAACTCCAGACTGATGTTAGAAAGGGGCTTGCTTAGTTTGGAAATTAAAAATTAGTTTACATTTATTTTTATGAATTTTTAAATATAATTTTTATATGAAAAAGAGTTTTTGCTAAAACTTTTCAGCTTTCTGCTGGCTATCAGCAAATGTTGGCCAAAAACAAATGGCCATAAAAGCAGCACTTGTTGCCCCACACAGATGTAACGAGGCTCGGGACACAGGTAAGTGGCAGAGTCAACACGACAATAACAAAAAAAAAAAAACCCGTTGGGGAGGTAACAGCAATTTTTGCGATTATATTGTTCACGTGTTGCCAAACGCCCCACCCGCTGGCCCACCTTTGTGTCTCTCTGCATCTGTTTTCATTTTGCTTTTCGTTTTTCTTTTGGCCATTTTAGAGCCATTTTCCCATATTAAATCATAAAAGCATAAAGGTGAGATGTACAAGAGGCGCGAGTACTCGTAATTTATTTGCCCGAAATTTTTATTTACTTTTTACCTCTATTATTATTATTATATTTGTGGAAAAAGGTACTGAACAATGCAAACGAATTGGTAAACACTCTTGGAGTTGTCATTTTTAACTGAATATCACGAAATTAGTTAAGAGAAGGAAAGAATTTCTATAAATAGGAAAGATTTCTATAAGGAAAATAATATAAATACCTTAAGAATTACTTGAAATAAAATAAAATAAATACCTTAAGAATTACTATATATAAAATATATAAATACGTTAACTCACAGTTTTTGTGATTTATATTTCAACTAAACATAACTTTCTATTTTAAATAATTTATGTAGTAAATGTCGCATTCTCTGCTATTCTTTGTAAAATAATTTTAAACAAATTGCTGCTTAAAAAAAGGGTATCACAACAACACTTAAATCCATATTCGAACCCCAAAGTCTCTGTTTATATGGCCCGTGTGCCTTATGTTGCAAATTGCGCCGGGTGTTGCAAGAAGCTGCGGCAAGCTGTGTGATAAGTTGTTATACCACCGGCAATAACATCCCACTAACAGCTCTTTTTCTCTCCCAAAACTCTTGGTGGGGTGGTGACTGCCAAAAAAAAAACAAACGAAGAAGACATTTCCATTTTTCATTCGTTTATGTTGCAATTTCTGTGGAATTGCCGATTTTGCAATCAAGATGCGTGTGAGCGAAATTATGCAGATGGAAGCGCGGAGAATCACCAAAAATAATTAAATATAATTGCTGTGTGCATTTCTGAAAATTGTATGATGATTTAAATGAAGACTGGCTGAGGTTTATATTGAATAATATTAAATAAATTCAGAGATAAAAGGAAATTGTGGAAGACTGTTAAAAACAAGAGGAAAATATCATTAGGTTGTAAGGAAATATAGACAAGTCTTTCCAAAAATCTTAACATTAAAAGGAATTTAAAATATAATATATTACCTTACACCTTTTAGTTTTCCTTTGAATAATATATTTCTGCAAATAATAACAAAACACCCTCGAAATTTAATAGACTTCTATTTGAGAAATTCCTGCTCTCAAAGTTGACATATTATCCAGTTCGAGCTTTGCATTTCAAATAGATTTTCAGCGCGGAAATATTTATTTATTTATTTATGTAGACTTTGTCTTGTAATGGATGCCGACTCGAGGCAGCTGCCCAACCCATCGAAAGATTTATTCCAAACGAATTCAAGTGCCCACCCAAGGCAAGCTCATCAATGAAATAATTTAGTGGGCTTCTTCGTGGGCCGGGACTTTGGTCAGCCACGCCCTTTTCCATGGCACACTTAAATTTATTGAGGCTGTGCGTGGAAAATGCCAAGTTTCTGACGTTTTCTCTGCATTCATTTGTGTAATTGAACACCTTTGGAGGTACAGAGGAGTGTCCCAGAGAGAGAGAGACAGAGTGTGGGTGCTTGAGTTGGAGATGGCTTGGCACTAATTATACAATTGCCGGCTGCTCCTCTTTTTGTTGCGAATTAATTAAAGCTCTAACCTTGAAGAATTTTAGCATACTAAAGAGACTCACGTCTACAAAGAAATTCACTTCAAGTTTTGCTGTAGGCCCGCTCGGCGATTTGTCAAAATTTAAGTCACCCCAGAGACCATTCCGGGTGTAATGACTTTGACAGCTAATAGCTAGCACTAATTGCTCTGATCTCTGACACGAAATAAACATTCAGCGGGGTTTAACTTTAGGCAATCCAACGAAAAACATAGAAATTATATAAATTAAAACATATTTTTCAACACCTAAATGACAAGAAAGAAAGTAAAAAGGAAAATATGACATTAAAGTCAGCTTAAACACTATTAAAAGTGAGTTGTAATTAGTTAACTTACTTAAATAGGAGTGGGTTTAAAAAATACTTGGGAAAGCTGTCCAGATATCTGGAAATATCTCACCCACTGTGCTGGTTTTTATGCTATTTTTGTTTATTTTTATTTTTCCTTCATTTTTCTTCTTGTGGGCGACATTCCTTCTCGCCAGTTAAGCTGCCAGTTGGCAGTTGCCAGTTAACAGGCAAATTGCGGTCTGGGCCAAGACGTTTGCTGGCTGACTCTTGATGGTAATGATGACGCCCAGCTAAGAAAACAAAGAGCCAGACAAAGTAGTCGAAGTTGATGTAGTCTCAGCCATGGTAGTTTTACTGGAAGACACAGAGAATAATTTTTAAAAATAAATTAAGCTACTTAAGAAGTAAAGTTTAAAAGTGATGTAGTGATAAATCCCACTACATATATTAAGTATTTAAAAAACATTATTTTTATAAAGATAAATAAACAATTAATTAAGCTAGAATAAAGTTTGCCTACCATTGAATTAATTAGTAATTGACCACAAAATGTATAGCCTACTTTTAGGACCTTGCAAAGAGAAAGCTAAAGTCTCTCCTGTGACCTAAGTACTTAGCCAATTCACTTGAATCTTATTATATTTATATTAATTAGTCATTTTTTGATCTTAGAAATATAATATTTTTCCTCATGTCTAGTTAACTATATTCTGCACACCCAAAATGGGCCCGAAAAAACAACTGCTGCTCACCAAGACCCTCCGAATGCTACTTGGCTGACCCTATTTGTAGGACTACGAGGGAGGGGCCGGTGGGTGTGGCAATCGCTTAGAGCGCGTGCTTAAGTAATGTGGCCCAAAACGAGTACCGGGCCAAGAAGCTGAAGAAGTCAGCGGCAATTAGAAGACGAGGCAAACGAAATGAAAACGAAAAGCGAAACCAAAACGATGACGAAGGCGACAGACTCAAGACCGATGACGGAGTCCGGATGAGAGGAATCATTTGTCGGCGGGCGTGTCGTTGATTGCACTGACATTGGGCATTACAAGGGGGCGTGGCACCCTCTACCAACATCACCACTGTAAGTGCATGTAAAGGTTAAGCTTTCAATTAACTCGAGTGCAGCAGAAAAAAAGCAGTTGTGGGAAAAAAATGGGGGGAAGCTGGGGGTCCAAGTCAAAAGGCGCAAGTGATTCCAAACTCAAAACTAACAAGAATAAAGGGGTGTATCCCGTACAAATAAAAGACTAGGAAGAAGAAAAAAACAGAAAAAAATCATCAAACTGACCAAAGTAATAAAACGAAATGAAATGAAACGGAAATGAAACTTAACGGCTTCCAAGTAAATACACAAACAACGGCCAAAAGGAGAAACTTTTCACATACCAAACCGTTTCCATGCATCCGTTTCTCTCACTACCAATATTCCAGTGCTGCCAGGGGTCAAAGGTTGCGGGAATTTAACACTCAATTTGATTTTACAGATTCAAAGAAAATTAATATAAATTAAAGTAGTAATTTTTATAAAAAAAATAAAAATTTTTAGTGCGCAATTATTAATAATTGAATATTTATTAATTGAACACTTTTACTATCAATTGTCAAGTGCATTCAAGGGTAAATTTCACCCTAAAGATCACTGATTCTAAAATAATAAAAATATTTAAAAAATAAACTTTGTTTTAATCAGGAATTAAGGTTATTTTAAAAATATTTTACACCAAATTTCAGGGAGAAACAAATTATTATACGGCTTAAGCTCTCGAAAACCACAATTTACTTATGAAAATTCAGTATACAAATATAAGAAACTAACTTTAAAAAAATCTAAGACTACTTAAAGCCAAGACCCAGCCAAATTGGCATCACTACTGCCGTGGCTTATTGCATTCCATCAGCTTCTTCCCCACTTTATGGTATGCGTAAGGGTGTATTGTGTTTGTGTTTTGGTGCTAGTTAAACTTTATCAGGAGGGCACCAAGACGTGGCGGGAAAATGGAGGCAGCAGAAGGAGATACAGCGCCAAAGTTTGAGCTCAAAACAAGCAATGCTCCCCTGCATTTTCCCCAACACAGTTTTTCCCCTCCTTCTCTGCCATTCTCATAAGTCCTCTTTGGGAGTTTTTGACTTCTCAAGTTTAGGCTACTTTCCCCGTCGTCTCGTTCGCGTTTAATGCCAAGTTTTATATTAGTAAGAAAAACAGAAGCATACATTGACTCGCTTTTTACTCTCGACTCCATTCCTGCCATGTGTCTCCTGCTCTCGTCCTTGCTCCTAAAAGTCAAGTTAAGTTTAGTTTATTTTATTCGATGCAACACATATTTTTCTTCTCTGCTTTTCTTGCTACAACAGTGCGTAAATTTCGTTGGCCAGTCCAAGTTTTGCTCTATAAAGTTGCTAATGAATTGAAAGGTGCCACAAACTCGGCTGGTAAAACATATAGTAATCCGTGCATAGGTATGGGTATATATTTCAGTCACCGGAACTGAAACGGAACTGGTATTAAAAGTTCATAAAACATTCGAGTCTAAGGCAAGTTTACAAAGAACTTAATCGAGTAACTACCAGAGGGGTTTAAGGTACTTTTAAACCAAGTTAAAGAGAGGATTTATCATAAGAAATATTATTACATTCAATGGGTTACAATTACTGTACTAAACCTAGCCACTTACTTTACTTGCAATTGTTTTATTTATTCCTTAATTCAATTTATTACATTTTATA